TCTTTATCAATGATCTGGATGAAAGGATCAAAGTGCCCCTCAGTCAGCTTTTTGGACAATACCAAGTTGGGCAGGATTGTTGATCTGTTGTAGGGCCGGAAAGTTCTGGAGAGGGATTTGGGCAGACTGAATTGATGGGCTGAGGCCAATTGGTTCAACAAGGCCAAGTGACAGGTCCTGCACCTGGGTCGCAACAACCCCATGCGGTGCTGCAGGCTGTTGGAAGAATGGCTGGAAAACTGGCTGACAGTAAAATACCCAGGGATGTTGGTTGACAGCCAGCTGAAAGTAAGCCAGCAATGCATCCTGCTGGCCAATAAGGCTGATGGCAATCTGACCTGCATCTACAATAGCGGGGCCAGCAAGACTAGAGAAGAGATTGTCCCTCTATACTTGGCATTGCTGAGGCCATACCTTGAAACCTTCGTTCAGTTTTGGGCTCCTCACTTCAAGAAAGTCATTGAGGTACTGGAGTGTATCCAGAAAAGAGAGACAGAGCTGGTCAAGGGTCTGGATCACAAACCTTATGAATGGCTGAGGAAGCTGGTGTTTAGCTTTGAGAAGAGGAGGCTCAAGGTAGGACCTTAATCCTCTCTACAACTACCTGAAAGGAGGTTGCAGTGAGGCAGGTGTTGGTCTCGCAGATATCAAGCAATAAGACAGGAGGGAATGGACTCAAGCTGTTTAGGGGAGTTTTTGATTGGATATTGTGAAAAATTTCTTCACCAAAAGGGTTGTCAAGCCCTGGAGCTGGCTGCCCAGGGAAATGGTTTAGTCACCAGCTCTGAAGGTATTGAAAAGGTTTTCAAATGTGTAGGGATACAGCTTAGTGTGACTTGGCATTCCTATATCAATAGTCGGACTCAATAATCTTAAAGGTCATTCCCAACCTAAATGATTCTGTAATTGTGTGGTAGATCCAAAAAATGGGTGTGCAACCACTGCAAGCTAGTTCCTTTATTTATGGAGTGGCTCCAATGCTCATTTGTAGGGGCTTGTACACTCTGTTGAGAGCGTGCATACACCAACACAACAAAATGGAAGTCAGATCATGCTCCATGATTTGTGACAAGTAAATCTGAACACCAGAACTGCTCAGGGAGGTACCTAACTGTGGTGGCCTTTAAAGATTTGTCACTGAGGTCAGAATCAAGGGATTCTTTAACACTATCCTGCTGATAAGGCTTTATGATTTGAACAAAATAATTTTCTTCCTAGATATCAATTGCATTGTCTTATGGCTCTGGTTAATCACAAGGGAAATAGTGAAAGTGTACAAAAATTTGGGATCTTTAATCCATTGGTTTAGCTTTCAGAAGATATGTATAAACAGAAGATAAATATGTGGATAATTGGCCTGGATTGCATGTCTGTACCTGTATTTCCTCATATGGAAAGTGGAGAAAAAAGACACTGATGATTTTCCTAAAGCAATTATAAGATTTGTTACCAAAAAAATGCAAGTATAACAGGAAGATCATTAATGACAGTTGAAACAGAATTTTAGGTAGGAAATGGTGTGATGATTCAGGCTGATTATCATTATTGCTTTATAAACTCATTTGAGCTATGTGATTTGTTTTGAGAACCAAAACAAAGTGGGAAAGGAATATGCAACAAAGACAAAGGCTTATGTGAATATAATTTCTAGGAAAGCTGATTCAAGAAGGAGCAGGGTAGCTCCAGACTCTGGAAAAGGGACCATCAGGAAAAAATCTGCAAGTAAACTATTAGTGCCTGAAAGCACCAGTCTCTGTATATTCATTTTCATGTAGGGTTTGACGCCAAAGCTTTAACACTTTTCTCACTCAGGTTGCAAACTGAAGCCCCCTGGGCTGATGTGCCCCAAGCACCAGGACAAACTCTGGGTGAGCCAGCCAAAAGCTTATATCTGCTGAGGTGTACCAAGCCCCTTAAAGGGGATTTGGAGATGCAGCTCCTTCTCTATCCGGAGTAGCACTGGATAGATTTTTGTGAAAGTTTTTGAAGTCTGACTGTGACAAACCCTTGTGTCTGATTATGTTTTTTTAAGTTAGACTTCTGAGTTTGTAACAATGGAATTATCTATTTTTCAGGACAATTAACACAATGCTTTTGTATGAGCTGAAGGTCAGAGGATTAATGTGGTTTTATCTACAAAGCATTTTTAAAAGCTAATTAAGAATCATTCAGTTTGCTCTGTACTAAAGACTGAGAACATTTAATATTAGATGACTCTTGATCCTCTGCAGCAGCAGAGAGGAGGGAGAAAGAGAGAGAGAAATGGAAGGAGAGAGAATTGGAGAAAGAGTGAGCTGGCAGGAAAACAAATATATCACAGGGATGCAGTTAACAAAGAGCAATAAAAAAAACTCCATTCTGGTAGCAGTAGAGATAAAATTGTCTCTTGGACCAAAGGACCAATCTAAAATATTAATCTGAAAATATATTCAGTATTTGCAATTACAAGCATTCCTTGTTAGAGCAAGAGAGATGGAGAAGATTATAGAGAGGTGCTTCTCTCAGAACAGTATTTTAGAGATGTTTTTATCACTTAGTGCTTTCAGAGCACCTCTTCCTCTCTCTCTCTCTCTCTCTCTCTCTCTCTCTCTCGCCTGACAGCTTGTACATATCACCATTCCTCTATAGGGAATGCCTGTTTAACAGGCCTCCAGCCAGACATGAGTCTTCTGGGAGAAAGTATGCAAGGGTGTGGAGCAGTGGTGGGACTTGGGTGCCAGGAGGACCTCAGAACAGAAGGGGCTGCTGCACTGCTGTGGGGATGAGTGTAGGTGGCAGTGAGAAGGCAGCTTGCCCTGAAAACACCTCAGCTTCATGGATTGCAAAGGTCAGGGGAAGCAAAATGCAACACAAACCAGAGACATTCAGAGGCAGTCCAGGAGTTTGAAAATCAGGGTGAGGAGTTTACTTTCAATGCAATGGCCTCTGCCTAGCCTTTTAAAGGGAAAAGGTAAGAAAACTGGAAACTGTTCTTTGTTTTTGGATGCTTATGTATGCTGCTGATTCAAGTGCTTAGAGGTTGATTTTCTGTGTCTGTCCAAATTATGTAAAGACATCGAGGCACCTCATTCCAAAACTGGGCTATGCACTACTATTCTGTTGATTAAATATGGCAATTATTTCAGGCTTAAAACATATTTGGGATAACAGTGGGTGCTGCCAAAGGTAGAAAGTGCACATGCATTCAAAGAACAAACTGAAAGAGGAACAGCAGCAACATGTGTAACTGGAATACATTATGAATTGCCATTCTCTTAGACAAAGGCTAGAAAACTCCAAAAATGTAGCAACCTACAGAGCTAATAAAAGGGATAGAAATATGCAGATATCTTGGTTTGTCTAATTTGTGTCTTTCTAGCATTGGTAGGATGACTCACTGGATTTAGCAACTCCTTGTGAAGATGAACATAATAACTTTATGCTGCAGATCTGCCATAAAATGTAATCTTTTACAATTCTGTATTCTCAAATGAAACACAAGCTTAGAAGCAGAATAAAATTATGAAAGATATTTGAATTGTTAGCTTATGTTCTTTTTAAACCTATGTTTATACATTAAAATATGCAACTCAACTAGGAAAAGGATATCCTCTTTCATCCCTATCCCTTCCCCAGCGTGTACAGCTCCCTACTATAAAAGACATGTTTAAATATGGTGTTACAAAGATAGTTGTCCCCAGCAATAGGTGTATTTTTATATTTTCCCAAACATAACTTATTGTTTTTCTTCCCATCCATAAACACTTGAATAAGAAAACTTATGCAGTCCACATATGATTCAGTGGCAAAGAAACCAGTTGCTTAGTAAAATTTGCATATGTAAATCACAATATTAGTAAACTATGGGATATAGATCCTTTCAGCTTTTGATAACATCCAACACATTTAAATAATTAGAAAAAAGAGCACAAGGCTTGCCTTGAGGACATAGTAAATATAGCCCTGAATACTTATATCCTATTCTGAGCCCTTCTCTGTGGCTTTAGGCATTGCACTGATCTACAGAAAGGTTAATCTGAGTACTTGAGGGCTTGTAGAATGTTATATAGAAAGTGACAGATAAAGCATCAATTGGAATCAGTGTTTCTAGGTATTCAGATAGCGACCAAGCACTAGATTGAGCATTTTTTTCTCCTTGATTTTAATGAGACTGGCTGTGTCACTTGAGACACTTTTGCATTTGTGCATTAAATATACTTGCAGATTTACTGAAGTAACAAGGAATAAAAATACAGCATTTTTAGTGTAGACAAGACCCAAATTGCTAATTTCTAATCATACTGAAATATTTATATTTTTATGCATGAAACAATCAATTAGGTTTAGGATATTCATTAACTTAAACTTTAAAAAAATTATTTTCTGGGAATGAGAAAAAATTCAGAAAATAACTGTCGATTTTCTCCCACACTTAGTGGTTTTATACGGTAATATTTCCATTTATTACTTAAAATGTTCTTATTTATAAAATAATTAATGGAAAAATATATGCTTTCCATTCTGTCTTTGCCATGTAGCTTTTGAAATTAGTTCTGTTCTTGATAGACTTAGTGTATGATGCAAGGCAGTGTTTGTAATTTATTTGTAAATGTATTTATATTTGGAAATTTATTATATTTGTAAAAGACCCAAGATCGCAGAACAGAAAATTACATGCATTATATATACAGACATGTAATATAATATAATATGATATGATATAATATAATGTAATGTAATGTAATGTAATGTAATGTAATATAATATAATATAATATAATATAATATAATATAATATAATATAATGTAATATAATGTAATATAATGTAATATAATGTAATATAATGTAATATAATGTAATATATATATACTGTGATACATCTGTATCTATCTATATCTTCACCTGGATTCTTGAATGATAGTGAATTAAATGCACCCTTATCTCAAATGCTTAAAACTTGACAGTGATTACACTAAATAGTCAGATATCATTGCAGAGAAAGTCAGTGTTCATTTTCTTACCTGCTTTTTTAATTTCAGGGACAGCTATCTTCTCGTGAGCTTTCTCCTTTTTTCCTGTTTTTTCTAAGATTTAATTAAAGAGAGTGATTTGATGTGATAGAACTCTGAATCATACACTCAAATATGCAGTCAACCAAGTCCTGGTGGGCATATACTGAAAAATATATGCCTTATTTGGGAGTTCAGATTATTCCCTTATAGCACTTGCACCCAACTGGCCACAGAGCAATCAGCTGAAAATGAAAATTAATCAGTATACATCAACTATGGATGATTTGGACCCTTAATAATTCATCAAAAGTTAGGCAAAAATCATCAGTGCATGAATGTGGCAACTTTTAGCTTAAGTTCCAGTAGCAATGAGATAATTAAAAAATAATGAATGACTTAAATATTTCGCATGAAGCAACACCTTAGTGGATTTTAGGTGCTTTCCGAGAATGTGTTATTGGAATATTGTTTAGATGGATATCATGACTTTGCAGTTTGGTCACTGTAAGTTTCAATTGCGATTCTATAAAATAAATAGATCTACCCCACCTTCAGAAACTGATGTACCATGAATTGAGTGCTATCTTCCCTGAGTTTTGTGTATTGAAGTATAACTATGTTCTGGTATATATGGACTCCATTAAATTGTTTAAAAAACCCATAGATGGCCACCAAACAGGACATTTCATTTGTCAGAAAATGAGTTTAAGTAATATTGGATGCTGAACACATTGAATACCTTAGATATTTGATACAGAAAAAGTGGAAACATGCAGATAGTGACTGAACAACTAAGAGGACAATACAGCCAGAAGTATAGGATTAACCTAACAGAAAACAATGGGAAATGAAGCCGAAGTGTGAGTAAAAGTTGAGTGAGGCCAGTAATAAATGTTTCCAAACCATACCTTTCATCTTAGTTTCAGCTGTAGTCTTCTTTTCATCACTCTTTTTCTTCTCCTCTTTTCTCTCTAAAAAATAGAAATTGAAATTCAGCTGGCTTTTTTACACAGAAACACACAAACAACCATGTATGTATGTATGTATGTACGTATGTGTGCATGTATATATGTATGTATAAATGTATTTGGGATCGGGCATCCCCTAACTGCAATATGTTCAAGATTTGATAAGCTGGTCACTTATTGCCAGCAGCTCAGAAGTACAGCTTAATACCCAGAGAGTGAATGTGGTGCTAAGGCTAAAACTGGAACAAACATGCACACCAGATTATTACTTAAATATTAATTCAAGGAACTATGCCCATTAACCTGGTGTAACTAAGAGTTTATTGTGGTGACTCAATAGCCATTCACCTGCGCTGCTTCTTTTTGGTTTCTTAAATTTCTGGTGCTAGGTGATGCATAAAAAGAATTTGTAAGCCCAAGGTTTTACAACAAGATTCTCTTTAATCTGAGACCATTTCTACCGTTGAACTTGTAGCATTTTGCATGCCTCTGGGGCCCAGAAAAAAACACATGAAATCTGCCTTAATTTGCATAGCAAGGTTCAGAGCTGTATGCATTTTGAAAACCACAAGCTGAGGCATTGAGCTTTGTGAAGTGAAGCTTCGTATGGAAGATGTACAGGAAGTGGCAGGAATGTTTACTGCCAATAACCTAAGCAATGACGATGACATCCCTGACTGCAGAATATTCACTGCCAAATCATTCCACCAATTAATCCCATTAACAAAATTTTCTTCCATCAAGCTCTCAAGTTGCATTATTCAGTGTCCAGGTATCTTTGAGATGTCTATATTTGTTGTGAAATTTCTGGGGGATGATTACATAGAGGTATTAAAGGACTGTGGCCCCTATTTCCCAATTGAACTGCCTAATGTAAGATAAGCACTCTTGCTCAAGTCTGAGAAACACAGTCATTGAGCTTACATTCACATCTCATCTCCATCTAGCCACAGTGGTGCTCCTCACAGCTACCAATGAGAGAAATTTCTGTAAATGAGAATGATAGACTTGGTGAATGGGTATTATGGAAAGAGTTATTTATGACTTAAGGAAGTAATCCCATTTCTTGAATAAATTTATTTCCTCTCAATTTGAACAGCTCACATTTAGAATGTCGTATATTAAGTGTATATTTAACACCAGCAAAACTTGTTATTTCTGAAGCAGTAAATGTAGTGGGCTCTATGCAGATATGTACACAGCTAAATTAAGAGGCAGAGCAAATAATTAAATAGGAATTTAGGCAGGTCTTTTGCACTGTAAAATATGAACCCCATCTGTTAATTGAAAGCACTTACTTTTTTTAGCTAGGAATAGTTACAGAGCTACAAAGGGCCGACTGCATGAAGAGGGATCCTAATATGCACAAATTGTGGGTTACACAAGGAAACACAACGTGATTTGGAAGATTTGACATAGACCACAATATGATTCAAACGCATTTATTGTAATTGCTACTGTTTCTTAATTAACAGGATTTTTTCACCAATCCTGAGCCACACTTCATGGACAGGGTAAGACCTCACCTTTAAAAGCCTGCAATACATTTACAAGAATGAAATAGGGATATATGCACCTGGAAGATTACATGACAGAATCAGTCAGCAAGGCCAGCAATGGACTTCTCATTTAGTCAAGATTTTTTTCTGTTGAGTCTTATACTTTATGTAGCATAAGAAGTAGTCTAGTGAACATGAGTATTATGAACTAAAGCAGTGATGTGCTACTGAATGGGAGATTCAGGTAAAAAATTAATTCCTTGGTGAAAAATAAAAAGAAGCCGCATAGAATAATTTTCTTGCAAAGTGACTGGATTGAACAGAACAGACTTGAAGCAAAGTAACCTCTGAGATGTAATTATTTATTTTTTAATAAGGGACGAAGGACCAAGGCCAGTAGAAATCCAAGTAAGATTCAGCAAAGACCAAGAAATGGGGTATTTCAATCTGAATTTCCTCCACCCATCTTGACAACACCTTTTCTTTGTGTTTTCTCTTAGGAGAGCAGCTAATTCTTGGACAATTGTGGGAGGGGAGACAACAGAAGCACGCTAACAATGCGGCCCTTGAAATCAGGCCTGGTAAGACCAGTGTGCTAGTCTGCCAGTGCTGAGTGGAATCTAAATTTAGGGATGTACATGAGTTGCAGGGCACAGTGTCACAGGAATGCTGTACAGGAACTGGAGGAAGAAGGTGCTCTTAGATGGTCCATGTTCTTATGAAAAGTCTGATTCTGGGAGGAATTGTCAGCTCATCCTATCCCCTCTGAGAAACTGAGGTAAGCATATAGCAAACACTAACTAGTGGGACTGAATGCCAGAAATTTGGAGATGTTTGGGTTCACATTAAATTTCTAAAGTTCAGATCCTTATATGAGGCTTATCTGCATTTATCCTGACCCTCTTGTCAGGAAACCTCAGGAGGAAAGCTCCTGTGAGAGACTTTGGATATTTATTGCCTAACTGTGAAATGCTACAACAACTTTTCTTGCCTACAGATTCTAGTCCTGGCAGAACTCAGGAGCAGCAGAGACACATGTATACTCACTGACATACAAAATAAAACAAAGCAAACATTAATTCAGGTTTTCCTGAGAAACCATAATTCAGACTGAATGTAGTGACTTCATTTAGGATAAGACCTCATTTCATTTTTGTCCAAGAAGCTCTGTAAACGTTAAGCTGTCATTGGCATAATTTTAAAAGACCATTCAAGCAAAATAAAAGCTGCCTTTAAATTTCTTTTGCCCTTATTAATTTTGAAGGGATTACAGATCCTCTTTGTTTTACTTGGTGACTGAAATCCTTTCTCTGCTGGACTCAATAAAAGTTTTGCTGTTGATTTCAGTGAGAGTTGGATATTTTTTTAAAAATTAGAATAAATCATTACATCTCATTTTTGATGATATTTCTTTTCTTTCCCCTTGGCCTGTTGCTTAGGGTAGAGACTGACAATGACTGGTCAGTTGCACTTTTGGGTCTAAATAATTTAACATCCATTCACAAAAATAGGATCCTCTAAGAGTTACAAAACTTTTATAAACAATGCAAGGAGATAGTTCTGTTTAGTTTAGGATGTCATGGAAGCTCATACCTTTAAGATTAAATCTAAATTTCAAGTAAAAATTGACCTTAGCTGTTTCTTTGAAACAAAAAAAAATCATCTCTTTCTGGGGTAAGAGAGTCCTTGTTGGTCTGGTTACTTTCTCTATGAGAAATAATTCTGCCTTGATTCAGCCAAACTACTGAAAGCCCAAAAAAGATCAAAGAAACCTAAATAGTATTAATCTAAAGTTCCATAATTCTTAGAATTGCTTCTGTTCACACAGAACCGCAAAGTGCATGCACACATGCACATATGTGCTCTCTCTAAATCACAGGTGAGTGCTTAGGCCAAAATGAAGTGCATTTATTTGCAAAACTCTGTTTAAATGACACGAACACTTTTTTCTGCAGAAAAAGAAAATACAATTCCTTTTCATACTGAGCAAATGAAAGACTCTTGGGGCACACAGATCACTGGAGATATAGCGCATCCTGAAGGCCCAGGCAATCTCTCCAGCTCGACTCTGCTTTTTTTAAATCCATGTAACTGTTTCTAAATCCCAGTCGGAAACACTATTTGACAGCTTGAAGATTACTTATGTAGGTATTTTTGAGGTCTGCAGAATCTATGCAATAGAAATATCATGCTTGAAATTCCTAATGCTTTCATGTTACCTACATAAATGTTTCTTATTTCTTCCTGTAGTGATTGTAGACTCCTTTTTCATGACTCTGTTTCATTAAGCACCAGAACTCTTTGTTAATAGCATGGGCCATATGTTCCCCTCACTAAACAGCACAGTGTGGAGCAAAGGAATAAAAATACAAGAGAGACGAAGCCAGAGTAAGCACAGCAGGTCAAAAAAGAGGCCAGGACAACTTCCATAACAAGACCAGCAACAGGAATGCTACTGGACAATGGTCTATGGTAAAAATGGTAAATATGATGCAAATATGATTATGATGAATACTTAAATTCCCAGGGGAGAACTTCTTTTTTATGGTACAACCCTTACTAGTGAGAGCCAAACCAACACAGCTAAGGAAGCTTGGCTAGCCTTCTACCACTTTGTGACTGACATTCCTACTGGACAACAGGAATGAATGTTAGGACCAATTCTGTTATCAGTGCTGGGAAGGGTTTTGCTGATACTTTTTATGCAGCGTGCTTTTGGACAAGCATGTCTGAGCTTAATAATGGGATGATGAGGTTATGTAGGGCCTCTTTGTAAGAGTTTCCATTTTCTTTCCAAAGAAACATGGAAGTTCTCCCTTTGAAAGCTCAGATTAACTTAATTCCAGTAAGTGCTTTCCATTTGCAGGTGCACCATAGGCGAAAGACCATTGTTTTTCTATAACATTTCAAAAGCACTATGAAAAGTTAAAATAATGTTCTGAGGTATTTGTTTGTGTTTTATTGGGTAAACTTTGGTGAATATTTATTTTCAAATGCATACTCAAACATTTTAATTTGTATTATTATAAATGATGAGAAAATATAATAAAATGTCTAATCAAAATATACTTTTTTTTTCTAACACTAATAAGCTTTTTTCTCATGTCTGTTTAACTTTTTGTAGTTTATGATAGAATAGAAGTAGTACAGAAGAGCCTCATGTCATTAAGGAAAATGTCAAGGGCTTTCTGAAACAGTGAAGATTTAGATTTTTTTCATTTTTGCTAAAGCATTAGAATTTACTGCTTAAATGCCTAATTTAAATCATTAAATAGTTACGTTTGAAACCCTGTTCATATTATTTCAAAGATTTTACTGTCTTCAGTACAGATTCATGGAGATATAAGGCCCATATTTCCCAAAAAAACACTTGTGCTGTAAATACAGCAATGCATTAAAGCTAACTAAACAGCTTATCTGTTCACCTAGATTAAACCTAACGCATTCTACTATGGTTTTTCTAATAGAAATATTTTTCTTTTTTTTTTTTCTGTTTTTATTCTCCCATGGATTAAAATTTATCAGAAAAATGGATTTTCATCCACGACTCATGTCATTATTATTAAGAATATTCTAAATGTGGAGAAAATTTTCAAAATTGTGCCTTTTTTAAAGGGTTCTGTTGTGTCTTGAATCATGGTCTCTCACTAAAAGGATTTTTTTAAAGGTAATTGATTCTATAGTATCGAAGAAAAACAGAGATTTTTTTATAGAACAATCCATGTACAGAAGAGAAGGCCGACATTGACAGACTGTAGAGAAGCAGATTGATTTGTACAAGATTTATACACCACTGTACATCAAGGGAGCTTTGTCAAAATTGGTATTGACTTCAGTAATTTAGATATTCTTGCTTATATCCCCTAATGTTCATGAACAGAGATATAGGCTAGAAATTGTTCTTAAGACTGTCAGATAGTTTACATTCTATATAGCAACACAGATGCAGTTGCCAATTTAACCTCCGCAGGAGTTTTGTGGGAAGTTAAACATATTTCACAGCAACTCACTTTACTATATTTTGTAAAATTTGTAATTAGGGGATTCAATGACCTAGAGAAAATACTCTTTGTCCTCATAGATCCTCTGAAGATGTTATAGATTATTTTTTCTCCTAACTTAATATCACAGATACTATCAAGATGACAAGGAATGGTATACTTCAGTCAAGAAAGGAGGGATATTTCAGGGCTTGTAATGATTCATTAGCAGATCAGAATGGTTATGTTGATGACTCTTCCATGATAAATGCTCTCCCACTCAAAGATAGAGGAACAGACTTTTAGGGCAATATAACTTGGAAAATCATACTCAGATACAATGCTGTTCAAAAGTTTTTTGTCATACAGTGCTCTTCAAAGTGGTAAAAAGCATAGGTCTGCTTGATATCATATATCACATGCATTAAGATTCTTTCCATCACTAGAAGGATTTTGATACAGGCTTCTCACATAGGTTCTGTGATTTTGTGAGAAGGCAAAGACGTGCTGTTATGGAACAATTCACATGAAGATTCACTGATAACTAGCTAAGCCTGGTTAATAGCTGATCTTAGTTTCTACACTAAGTTATGAAATGATTAAGTCATTATATGTTATTAAGTTACACTAAGTCTTTACACTCTGTCTAAATGCAGAGTCTTCCTGAGTGATTACCCTGGCATGTCAGAGAGGGAAACATGGGAGGACTATCAGAAAGGAAAGTCATTTTCACGTAAAAGCTGTGTGAGCCGAACAAAAATTCAAGGCCTAAGGAAGAGAATCACAGAGAAGCAGTATACACTGCAGGGAAGTTTGGTGATGTCAGTGAATTACAAAATAAAATAAATCTAGAGTTAAAAGTGGTGTGGCAGACTACAGCCAAGGAAGAAGAAGGATATTAAAGTCAAAGTTCAGATAGCCGTGGAGAACTGATCTGTTCAAATTACTGGTGACACCAGTGTCCTGACATGGCAGCATGAGTCTCAGCCAAGCTGAGAACACTGCTTCCAAGTACTTGTGAAAGCTCCATAAAAAGATAAGATAAAGAATTTAAAATTAGTTCTTTGGCTCCTAGTTTACCAAACAAGGTTTCCAAACTTGAAATACAAGTAAATATTGTATATCAATGCCTTTATCTTCACAAATTCCTTTACCTTCTTTCTCTTGTTCACTTTTACAGGATCCTATATTTTGTTTTATTATTCTCTGCTGCTCATGATCTGAAAATTCAACTCTTCATTGAAGTTTTAAGGTAAGATCTTTGAAAAAGCCAACCAACCATAAAATAGGAAAGCAATGATCTGTTCTTTTCATTCTGACCAGATTAGTACAAAGCATTTTGCTTTTTGACCAGGAGATATCTGAAAATTTCAACTCATACACACACTTCAATGCAGTTTATTGCTTACTACTAGAATCTAGTGTACAAATTGAGACTGTCTTAAATAATTACCCCTTTTCCAAAAGATTTACTGTGGAGCTGAGGTAAGACAAAAAGGCAATGACAATGGAGAAAATGTGCGACTTAATATATAATAACAATATGCTCTTTTTCTACAGCCTCAAGACTTCAGGACATTGGATACTATGCAGGAAAAGCATTCCATTTGAAGATATCAAATACTCTAAAAACTTTAGAGGTATGTGGCACATATACATCACTATTTCACTATTACACTTATCAGAAAACAAGAATGGTCCAAGATTACCTAAGGCAGCAGCAGCAAAATAGAGATACTGAAAACCTGTCAATCTAGAAAAAGAGTAAGATCCTTTCAGCCTTCACCAGCTGCACCATTACATGTATAATATCTGAATATCACTGAGTTGGAAAGCCTAGGGTGTAAGTAGATTGGTTTCATAAATTTTCTGTGTGATAAATGTTCTGTTACTTCCTAGTTTTATCTTTTTTCAGAGCTGGTGTCTTCTGTCAAAGGCTAAGCCAGTCTTTGATGTTATATAAAGTATATTTTTCAATTAAAATTGCTTCTGTCTGTTCTGTATTCTGACAACTTATGACACTATTTCCAACTATATTTGTAAGAAGAATCTTTTGTTTCAATCTGTCCCTTCTCTTGATCAGTGACATTTAGTGATGTACCAGTCATAAAGGTATCTAAGCACTAAGAAGTCACATGCAGATGTATCTTCAGCTATTTTAAAGATTTAAATTTGTCTGCCTACTCCTCTTTTGTCCCTTCTGACATTTTGCCAAATATTCTCATAAATTACTTTTTTTTTCTCTCTAGGGCTGAAATAAAGTTTCAGGGTTTAGGGTTCCTCAAGGTGCTGTGGCATATTTTCTCATATACGGAATAGTACAACATAACAGCTTTTCATGATAATATTTTACAAGTGATTCTGCCTTCTTAATATCCTTCAAATCTCTTGCATGAAAAGTATTGTATTCTAGTAACTGGCCTTGAGCCTTAAAAGGAATTTAGTTATATGGTTCTGAGCAGATAATCTCCCTAAAATTTGTTTGCCAAATGGATGTCTAATTTACCATCCTAATTACCTGAATTGCATGCATAAATGAGCTAATGAAGCACACAAATATGTAACTGGTCATTAATAGTCATTTCTATGTGCAATTGCAGTAATTGCATGTTCCTTGTGATTTTGAAAATCAAGAATCTAATGTTAATTTGATGCTAGTTCATCCTGTGTAACAGCTATATTTAAAGATTAAGTTTATCTTTCAGCAAATGTGTCAGCCTTGTTCATTTTGTCTTTTTTCCTTTATGGTTAATTGATGGAGTTTAACATTGCTGAGACTTCTTTCTGCTGATAAGCAGGGTTCAGACATTTTCCTAAAGTAAGCAAGAGTGCAAATCTATTTCTATACTGTCTCGAAATAACCACAATTTTATACTCCTTTAAACAGCATGTTAAAAAAGAAATAATCATTTGAGATATGAGATTTTTGGGGAAAGACATAATAAGTCTCATAATTATTTTTATCCAAATATTCTTATTCACAACAATCACATTAGAGAAATATCTAATTAATGAAACACTTTATTTCAGTCATGGGTCCTGGCAAAACCTAAGTCTCATTTTCTGTTTTCAAGTGCAGGAAATCTTGTAGCTCTTGTTACTTACTCTCTGCCACCCCATCTGTTCTTCACGTAGTCTGCAATTGCTTTCTGGGTAACATAGAACTAAGACCTCTATGAGAAATATTAGCAAGTGCCATGGCATGACTGAAGGACTCAAGTATCATATGAAAACTGCTACATAATTACAATAAAAGACTTAGATGTTTTGTACTATTAAACTGTATGGTGTAAAGACCAAGAACATATATTGCAGTTGTAGTTCTAAGTCATCATAGTTCATTTTAAAATTAAAATGAGTATTTCAATCACTTTACTGTAATGATCAGACTATAAACAACATAATTTAATTGCAAGGATTATGTTTTAATCTTCTGAACATAAAATCTGACTTTGTATTTCTCTTTCAGTGGTTTTAACAATAGAGTTGATAAATGCAGAGCCAGAAATATTACATTATTATTACAAATAAGGCACAGAAAAATTACTGAATAACAATAGCTGAAAGAATTATCTAAAGTATATTAAGAGGATAATGTTGATTATGTTTATAGTTAGATAGCAAGTTATGGCTGAATGCCATTCAAAGCATTTTACATATTAGGCCTCAATCCCATAATCTGTTTCACTCAGGATACCCCCCAAGCCATCTGTGAGACTACTATAAGGAACATTTAGGTTTTGTCATGCATATATCACTGTGTCTTTCCTGTCCCAGGACTAGTAATGTGATCACTTTTGTAATATAGGTTATAGTTAAAAAAAAAAAAAAAAAAAAAAAAAAAAAAAATTAAAAACATCTATTAGAACAAACAGTAAAGTTAATAAGTAGAAGCCAATAAAAGTAGAAAATCTCAAACTTGCCTTCAATAGCTGCTGGTTTCTTTCTTGGACTGTGTTCTAGAAGAAGACGAGGTGGTGCGAATTCCTTATGTCCTGCACCTAAGAATACAGATTATAAAGCATAGAAAATATATTCACTAACAGGCTGGGCAATTTCCCTGGGAGTCTGAGCTCCCTTCAAAATGGTTAATGTTAAAAATACTACAGTGTGCATAAAAGCTAGTATCTTTCAGACACCAGGTGAAGGAAATGTATTTCTCAAAAATAATTTCTTTTCAAGAATCACATTTCAAACCAGTGAAGTCCAAATGACTCAAATATATACTGAAATGCTATAGTTCTGTTTTTCTTCCTTAGACTCAAAAGATAATAATAATACTATAATAACAAGGTGGCATACACATGATGTCTTTTCTACAGCAAAATCTTATTTTCTTCTGTCAAACAAATGATCTTCAGTTGCTCCCTAAAGTCTACTTAATTAGCTCCTAGAAACACCAGTAAAAATTATGATGTTTCTCATCCTTAAGGCTTATTCTTAATTAGCCAATACCAGCCAGGTCATGCATTGCAAACACTGATGAGGTTCTGATTCCAGCTGCTGACTGAAACACTTTCTCAGAGTGTTCAGATGGGACTTTCTGTACTGTCTTAGCCTATGTGCAGATTTCTTGTTTTGTACAAAACACTTTTCATTTCTCCACAGATTCACAAGCATATTTAATATACTCTTATGCTTATTTTCTAGTTTATGACATATTTGCAATCTTCTTATTTCCTTTTATTTCACTGGCATTTAGTCTCAGTAGCTATCCTGTCACTGTCGTTTGGAAAGTGCATTTTTTTGTGACCTGAGAAATAAAATTAAGTAGTTAAATATAATGATTCAATCATATGCACCAGCATACATTCACTACACCAGAGTCCACATGCAAACAGACTGTTAAAGCTCAGCTCCAGCTTCACATCAGAAACTCAAAGCCATGCCTCATGCTTGATGATAGACTCAGAAAAGAAAGTAAGGTTTTAATAGACCTTGGAAACTGCAGCATCTTACTTACCCCTCTCATTTTGCAAAGGTGTGTATACTCATGGCGAATGCATGAGAATAACATCACCTTTAAGGCAGAAGTGGGATTTGAGCATCATGGACTTAATGTTATTACATCTCATCAACATATGTACAATTGCAGGCACATAATTTGCAAGCATGTAATTCATTTCATCCAGTATTTTGTATAAAATATTAAACATAGAGCTGTTCAAACTTGACATGTGCCTGAGTCACTGACAAAATGTTAACACATTGATAAAACCAATGTATTGAAAATGCATTTTCCATGTATTTCCTATCTTGGCAATAAACCCAAGTGGATATTTACCAATATTATCACATAATAACTATAGCTTTAAAATTTATGTTAGGCAAACTTCCAGAATCCAGATATTTAGCCATGATTTTCCAAATGCTTTATGTCTGAAAAAAAAATCTTGAAGTTGCAAACTGAACTAATGAGTTGCTGATAAACTTTATTGCCAGCCAGAATAGAAAAGTTATATTCATAACCATGTCAACACACAGAAACTGGAACAATTTAATTTCTAGTTCAGAATGAAAATAAAAAAAACAACATAGCAATTAATTAAGAGTGGGTAATCTTATTTTTTTTTCTACATTTGATCAAAGTCCTAGAATAAACATTATAGGTTTTTTCCCCCTCTTTTATTCACTGATTTTTTTCCCTTTCCAGAACTACACCTCATATTCCCCAGTTAGAAAAAGTGGTAATTTTTATAACTTGGACAAAAACTTTGTGTGAAAAAGGATAAAGGGCAGTGGCTCAGAATGTTGAGTAGATGAGTAATGATGAAGGATAGTCAATAATTTGGACTGCAGAGTGGTGTCTGCAGTGTGGGGCAATGATCTAACTCCTCTAGGTCAAATTGTAGGCTGGCCCCATTATCTCCCTGTGCTTTGCTGTGGCAGCAGTTTTCTAATGATAGCACCAGCATGCGCATAATGCCTGTATGATACCACTTATTGCTAATGACTTGTCAAGTTCTATTTTATAGCTTTACAAGTTTTAAGCAAATAATTTATTTCATGCAAATTGACCACATGATCTAATATGAGGAGTGTTTTAAGTTTAAGCTTCACAGATCAAAAACTTTCCCTTAGGCCAAAATGTTTGTTCTGAGCAGGTTCCTATCCACTCTGATAAAAGGCTTCTTTAATGTTTCCATGTCTTATTAAATGTCTCTCTATTCACTTTGATGGGAATGTAAAGGACAGTAAATGAATAAATATTTTATCATTCTTTTGATGAAATATGTTAAAGGGGATAACCTAAGTCAATTTTCTTTTCTTTTCCTTCTTCTCTCTTCTTTAAGTTATAAAGCGCAAGTGGTTTTCTGTAGTACAGACAAATGATAAATAGAAATGAGGAATTGGCTTCAACAGATCAGACCATTCGTATTAATGATGCCTACTATCTTGACTCTGGCAGTGGCCAGTTGGACACATATCAATGATGTAAATGAGAGGAAGTTATCCAGATAACCACTATTATTGCTGGGCATACACTTACCTCACAGCTTTAAAAATGCAGCCGCAAAAAGCACTGCATAGTTATTTGCTTCTCATTTCCATCATAGCCTTCATTTTACTGCTACTAGATAAGCCACTAAGGTTAATTTAAACTGCTTTAAAAAAGATAAAGTAAGTTTTGATTTCTCCAAAAGATATAATTGCAAGCACAAAAATGTCCATGAATTTCTATGCCAGTCTGACCTAGATTTGACCCACAACATGTCTATGTGTCATCTGTCCATGCAGTTGTGCTATAAGTATCTCCTTCATATATGGTATCATAAAAAGCTGACAACAAATTGCATCTGATGAAAACTGAAAGAGTGAAATATTTAGGATTTAAGCTCATGGGAATGATCTCACCAGGAGAAAAAGTGACACATTAAGGCACAACTACCTTCTTCCACAGCCTGAAAGGAAAGAAATAAGCTGCAAGGATGAGTAGAAGGTTTAGGACTCTAACTAGTTAACACAAATACTTCTTTGAAAATGATCTACAGTCCTCAGTCTCTGGGAAACTTCTGTCATCCCTATATCAAATTGTCTTAAAGAAATTAATCCTGGCTTGGTTTATTAATATTTTAGATTGTTTTATTGCATGATAAGGAATACAAGACAAACTTTAATTACCTTACTTTTCCTCAGTCTAGGAAATAGCTTTCTATGTGTGTCAAAATGTCATATTTGAATTTTGTGTATAAATTGATTTCTTATGATAATATCAAATTATGTGAGTTTTCTGTCTTTCCTGATCTTCTGAGCTCAACTTGTCTGCAGTGACCTTAATAAAGTGTCTAAATATATCTTTCTCGATAAAAATATAAAATATGTGTAAAATTTATTATTATTGCTATTGGCATTGGTATTGTTATTGTTATTATTATTATTTCAGACTGGTGAATATTCCAATTGGATATGGAAAGAAATAAGGCCATCACAGAGTTCAATATGTGGAAATGCCATTCCTATGACCGTTCATTTCCTCATATCCGTATACCAGTTCCTTGAACGGCAGGAATCCTATGGTCCAACAGCACCGATACCTCATTACAGTTTCTCAGTGCAGTAAAATGACTTCAGATAAATCTCATTCTGCTCGGATATGACATCATTCTCTAGTGATGGCAAAAATAATTCAAATAAAGTAATTGTCTTTGCAGAGACACTTGCTATGAAAAGGAAATTCCAATCAGATGTTTAAAGAGGGAAGACTGCCAAGTATGCTTTTAGAGGACTTAAAATGTAATGGAGTCCAATCCTTTTGCCCAGGCTTCTTGTTTTGAGGTGTAAGTTGCTACAAGTTAAAGGTGTGTCTCTCCCCAGCTTTCTGTCATTACTCTCCAGACATTAGGTTGTGATGTGTCTGGGGAAGGGTTTCTCTGCTTAGTATGTGTGCATGAAAGGACCAAACTGTTTTTTCACTAAGAAAGAATAGCTGAGGATCAAGAGGTGAGATTATGTAACTGTACTGAATAATGCAAATGCTCGTTTTCTGGAATATATTACTTGAAATAAAATACTTATGCCCCATATAGGCATTCTTTCCTAAGGAGCACACTGTAACAAGGATTTCATGCACACTGGCAATTAAATGGGGCCTGGGAACATTACTGGGCTCTGGAATTCAGATATATATATCCTGCAACATGCTTTTGGATAGCCTCTGACAACTTTGACTTGTGCCAAGCAGTGTGTCAAAAAATTCATTGGCTCAGTTCAGGAATTGGTAGGAGCCAAGGACCACTCCCAATAACTAGCTGAGATACATCCAACCCATTTTGACCTTTAGGAAGTGTACTGGATGTGGAGCTCTCTATGAGAGAAAAAAATCACATTGAGAGAGAGAACAGTTGAGTTTGATTTAGTAATCTAGATGTGGCCACATAACAAAATTAAATCAAATGGAAAAAAACATGCTAAACAGGATTTTAATGACCTACTTGGAACAGAATTTTTGGCAGGGGAGGATGGAATTAATGGATAATAAAATGAGACTTTTAAGAAAGTATATTTTAGTAGCCAGCATATCTTTCAGTTTTTTAATTGCACTCAGGAGGGGTCTCTTTATTAAATGCTTAATTGCCCAACATAAAGTGAAAGTCTGATTTTGCATAAGATTGATGCTACTACTTAAGAAAAACCTATGCCACAGTATATGCAGTGATTACCAGCAGCGATGCAATCTTCTAAATTTTAGTATTGTCACACTGACTATCAGCCAGTTTCTTTTATAATGCATAAGAAAAGAAGAAAAGGAGAGATTACATGGGTAATGACAAACCTATCTAGCTATGTTCCACTATATATATGTATATGAAATCCATTAACAATGACACAAATAATTTTGGTACTCTATACAGAGTCTAACTTACGAGTAAAAAACATTATTGTGAGATACTCCCTCAACACATGGGCAATGAAACCAGGCCTATACAAATAACAGTCTAGCAACTTTGGGAGTCCATCCATCTCCTAAGCTGAAAGTAAGGACGTACAGATTGAAATTGAG